CCAACTCTGCACAGCGAATCGCGGCGCCTTATACGACTGGCTGACTGTAAAGGAGCTCCTTACAGTTAAAAGAATGCACGTATAGTATCAGCACTGAACTGAAACATCAGCAGTTAGATTCGATGCCTTTTGTTTCGTAATGACACTCTCAGCAATATTCCAGCTGCATGATGGGGGCATGTAAGTAAACGAGCCTGGACCAGATACATCATGTATTGTTCATGTGAACACCTTCTCACGCCGTAGTGTGCAATAACACGCAACCATCCAAGTCACTGAGTCAGAGACAAACTTCAAGATCTGATGTCACTTAATCCCAAAAGATGGATATTCATATTAAGTTATTCATTTGACGATTGACACACTCGTAGCTTGCTGACATTTGGCTTCTGCAGAGACAGTTCCACCCAATAATTAGCAGATATTTCGTTATTTATTGTTCATATATAATGTAACTATGCGGTTTTCAAGATGAATAATTGATGAAGTGATTTCCATACATGATATAGAAATTTAATATGATGACGATCACTACGATAATACATTTGACGATTTCAATATACTAAGTAACATCACAATGACGAAAGCCATACCAGATAAATCATTATGCTACCTAAATGTAAACAATACCTCTCCCTACCGATAATCGCCAGTAGTTGGAAGAAGGGTTTTAGTCCTGCTGAGGTACCAAGCAGAGGTAGACCCCTGGTCTTTGGTATGGAGTCAAACTGGTTGCTGGCGATTATACTGTATTTCCATATCAAAGTCATATATTTTAATGCGCTCCTACTAGGTGTGATATTCTAGTTAGTATATTCTTCAACAGATACTATTAATATAATATTATTCCAGTCACAAAGCGGGAGGAAGGATGACTCAGAAAGCGTTCCATATTGCCTTATGAAACTTTGTATTCAGATCCTGCAGGCACTGAATTGGTCCCTTTTCCCATTCAAGAGTTTCTAAAAGTTTTAGTGTTTGCTTTTCCATGACAACTTGTGGGACTTTGGTTGAAATAACATGAGCATGACTCAAAAAGTCATTTCTCATTTCTTTGTGGCCTGTGTATACACACTAGGTAAGTGCTGAAATGGTGCCTTTGTTCATCAGGAAGTTTAAAAAAAGTTTCATGTTTGCGTTTGCAAGTTGGACGTAGGTTTGAATGAGGGTTTCGTTTTGCGGAGCATATCTCATGTTTCTCATTTGATATATCTTGATGAAACTTTGTAAGCACATACAATATCATGCATTCGGGCTGGGCCCAGGCAGGGAATCCGGGGTGATATGTGGTACTGATGTGATGAAACGTGAGATATGATGTGTGTAAGAGGCCCGCTCTTGTCCCTTTATATGAGGCTAACATGCTTCTGAATATGTCCACATAGTGCCATCACATCACAGAATATTCCACATGTTTCTATAACGCTCTCGCTCAGTCTACGGTATTCCGGAATTTGACACATCACACACGCATCTAAATATAGTAACTTCCTCAAAACTGCATTCCTGACTATTAGTCACTGTCCAAACACAATGCAATGAGCTTCTACCGAATCTCAACAGAAACAATGTAATACAGTTACGTTCATTATCCTACAACAAAATACAGTGCCATGTAACAGTTTTGTTTGTTTCTTGTTTAACGCCGCACCCAGCAATATTACAACTATATGATGGCGGTCTGTAAATAATCGATTCAGGACCAGTCAATTCAGTGATCATCAATCCACGCAATTCGGATACAATGCCATGCATCAATCAAGTCAGCGAGCCTGAACATCCGATCCCGTTACTCGCCTCTTACGACAAGCATCGTCGCCTTCTATGGCACCATATAACAGGAACGACGATGATGCAATATATCACTGAAGTACACAAAACTTGTAAACCATTGTTTTCAAATAAATGCGACAAAACCAAAAATGCGCCTTGTAGAACTATAAGTTTGTTGAGGTTTTGAAAAAGTTGAAAATTGACAAATTCTTGGCCAGGGTCACTCTTCCTCGTCTGTTGTGTTTTACATATATTCATAAAAACTGGTTTCAGGGTAACTGTTATGTCAATGTAGTCAACAGAACATGACCACAGACAGTTCACAACCTCATCTTGCTGCCCAAAATATTACACTTATATACTCATTGTTTTTAGCACATTTACAAAAATATGTTTAACACTTTAAACTAATCACAAAGGAACCACCATGTTTAATATTTGGATGTATTCTATATACACAGTGATTAAACACTGTAATTGTACATGTACCTAGTTAAAACTCTGTATGTATTATTAACCTAAAATACTCTACCAAAGGCATTAAGATGAAAAGTTAGTATTGGTTTGTCTGACCAGTGACTTACCATTTTCATCAAGAGGATAACTTGTTTCAACAACATACTTACATAGAATTTATTCTTTGGAAGAACAATGTGCATTCCCATAACTCCCATCTCCATCACCTTCTTTGATTCATGCCTTGATTGAGCACAGGTTGAAGTTTCATTCACGTATTCGACATTCGAAGTTAAACCATCGACAATACATCTAGTACGGCACAGCTTTTCCCCAATGGTCCTGAAAACGACGGAATACTGAATGCTACATCGCTCTGTGCTGCATGCTGGAAATGCAAACAACGAGTAAACTGTAAATACCAGGAACAGTCTCACAGGCTCACTTGAACACAGTGATATCATCTTGAAGTGTCCACAGATAGGATTCAAAGCCTGGTAAGACTATCAGCATAAACATCCAGAGACTACCGATACGAATGCGCAGAGTATATACTGCGTCTCTTTTGGTGATGTGATATTACACTTCTCTTCCTTGATGCCTGGGAGGGATCAATATAACCACTTTAGAGGCAGGAAAAGCGATGTTACGAGATTTTCTGAGAGGGGTGCAAAGATCATGTGTTTTATAATTATCTCCCTTTGGAAGAAAAACGTGTTGTAGACGATTTGTTGTGGTTGGTTGGTTGTTTTCCGCCGCACTCAGCAATATTCAAGCTACATGACGGCGGTCTGTAAATAATCGAGTCTGGACCAGACAATCCAGTGATTAATATCATGAGCATCGATCCACGCAATTGGGGTCGATGACAAACATCAACCAAGTCAGTGAGCCTGACCATCCGATCCCGTTAGTCGCCTTTTACGACAAGCATAGTCGCCTAAGACCTATTCTATCCCGGATCTTCATGGGTTCGATTTGTTGTAAAGAACGTACATGGTGTAGAAGAGGGAAAACTGTGATGTAAATGAGGAATCATGATGTTCACGGTCTCTACGATGTGTGCGATGGCTCCCGTATTTGACATGCATGAGAATATACAGTCGAACTTTGAATTTTTGTGTTTACTGAGAGTTGTACGTGCGAATGCGTTTCTAGCTGAAGTGAACACCCAATCCTCTGTGTGCAACTCGTAGATAACTGGAACTGTGAGTATATTATCACATAATGAACGACAAACATGAAGATTTCATTGCGAAATGTTCTGTGCTAAGTGGTTTGTCAAGAGTTGTTAAGGCAGGAACACCAGAAAGTGGCTTCTTGTGCGTAAAATATGGGTTTGTCGGCTTTTTTCACTTTGTGTATTGTTGAGAATCTAGCATTTTCAATCGGATGTCCTAACACATAAATGACAATGCTAACCAAACACCCCCATCTCTAATCACCAGTACGGAAAAGGTTATCAGTTAAGGAGGAGTGGCAATTATTGGTTGACATATATTTAAATACAGCGTGCTCATCATAATGTCAATGAGTGAGTGAGTTAATTCCTGAAAGCAAAAGGTGTCAGACGTGGTATTTTCTTCAATTGTACGACAGTAAGGGTGAAAATTACTTTGGCCAACACTGCATGAGTACTTAGCTTTGAATCTCGCAACAGGGTCACACGATATTATAGCAGATCTATTACACAACATAGACTGTTTGACTTGTGGCTGGGGCGGTGGGGTAGCAAAGTGGTTAACGCGCTCACTCGTCACGCCGAAGGCACGAGTTCGATTGGTACAATGTGTGAAGGCTATTTTTTATGTTCCCCACTGTGATATTGCTGGAATATTGCTAAAAACGGCTTAAAACCCAACCCACTCACTCACGTGCGGCTTATTCGCAAAAGGAAATGATGAATCCACAAATGCAATAATACACATATAGGGGCTTCTCTCCCTGATATTCTTCTTGATGCTTCGAGTCCGTACACACGACACTCTTTGACACCACCTTTGGCATCTTGAAATAACCCTTTTTACCCAAGCAAAATCTTTAAAGCAGGCACAAACAGGAACTACGAAATGTTGTGAAATATATCATACATTTCTGAGTTTATATAAATTACACATATTAACTGTCTCTTTGTAATGAGTGAGTGAGTGCGTATGGTTTTACGCCGCTTTTAGCAATATTCCAGCAATATCACGGCGGGGGACACCAGAAATGGGCTTCGCACATTGTACCAATGTCGGGAATCCAACCCGGGTCTTCTGCGTGGCGAGCGAACGCTTTAACCACTAGGCTACCCGACCGCCCCGTCTCTTTGTAAATACTTTACACAATAATTTATGTTAATATTCAGTTAATAGACAACGTGATATCCTTCGTTTGAGGTTTTAGTAAATAGTTTTGCTTTGTTTGGTATTTCAAGCTTGGCATCACGTTGCTGCCAACAGTGTACGAGTTGTTTGGCAAAGAGGTAGACACACGAAGTACATGTCAACCAAAGTGGAAGATACAGGAAGTACATGTCAACCAAACAGGAAGATACAGAGGCACATCTCAATCAAAGAGGTAGATACAGGAAGTAAATGTCAACCAAAGAGGTAGATACAGGAAGTACATGTCAACCAAACAGGAAGATACAGGAAGTACATGTCAACCAAAGAGGTAGATACGAGAAGTACATGTCAACCAAAGAGGTAGATACAAGAAGTAAATGTCAACCATAGAGGTAGATACAAGAAGTAAATGTCAAACCAAGAGGTAGATACAGGAAGTACATGCCAACCAAAGAGGAAGAAACAGGAAGCACAGGCAAACCAAAGTTGAAGATACAGGAAGTACATGTCAACCAAAGAGGAAGATACAGGGAGCAATTGTCAACCAAAGAGGAAGATACTGGAAGTAAATGTCAACTAAAGAGGAAGATACAGGAAGCCCAGGCAAACCAAAGAGGTAGATACAGGAAGTACATGTCAACCAAAGAGGAAGATACTGGAAGTAAATGTCAACCAAAGAGGAAGATACAGGAAGCCCAGGCAAACCAAAGAGGTAGATACAGGAAGTACATGTCAACCAAAGAGGAAGATACTGGAAGTAAATGTCAACCAAAGAGGAAGATACAGGAAGCCCAGGCAAACCAAAGAGGTAGATACAGGAAGTACATGTCAACCAAAGAGGAGGATACAGGAAGTACATGTCAACCAAAGAGGAAGATACAGGAAGTACATGTAAACCAAAGAGGTAGATACAGGAAGTACATGTAAACCAAAAAGGTAGATACAGGAAGTACATGTCAACCAAAGAGGTGGATACAGGAAGTAAATGTCAATCAAAGAGGTAGATACAAGAAGTAAATGTCAACCAAAGAGGTAGATACAGGAAGTACATGCCAACCAAAGAGGAAGAAACAGGAAGCACAGACAAACCAAACAGGAAGATACAGAGGCACCTGTCAACCAAAGAGGAAGCTATAGGGAGCTCATGTCAACCAAAGAGGAAGATACAGGAAAATGGACCGCCTCCATGGTCGTGTGGTAGAACGTCCGTCCAGAGAGCAGAAGGCCTGGTGTTTGATCCCCGGCCGCGTCATACCAAAAGACGTTAAAAGATGATACTTGTTGTTACCCTGCCTTGCATGTGTATGCACGTCGCTATATAAGTGCAATCATCTTGGACACGACGTTAAACTCCATTTCACCTCGCAATTTAATGTTATCTAAACTCCCGTACTGTATATTCCACATCAGCTTTCATCGGGGTGATTCCTACAGGACTAAATGTAATTCATCCTCTATCCCTGCTCCATATTTCAGACAAAAGGAATTTGATTTTCTATATAGCAGCATCAGCAGCAGTACCAAAGCACCACCTACCCAACAAAGAGGTCCCGGTTACTGAAATGAAATTATCATGCCTCATGGAATTTGATGAGGATACAATAATGACATATGTGACCCACCAGGAGAAAAGGGACCTTATGGGCGAAAAATCACATTTTGACATTTCATTATATTTTAAAACCACAGCATCTTCGGAACACACAAATAGAATTTACAAGCCTCAAATCATATTTATTACAGAGATACATGACGAAACGATCTTCACTGAAGTAGGTCAAACGTCTTTATGACGTCATAGCACAATTGTTTCCTGGCACCAATAAGGTAGCTTTTCTACTGGTGGGTCACAATAATGATATATAATAACAATCGCAGGTTGTGTTTTCCCTTTTTAAATTATGCCACTACCTGTGATAGAGTAACAATAATGTCATCTGTGAAAAGAAACATCAATTCCATGTTACCCAGATACCGTACTGTATATTCCACTAAAGGGGTGACATGTAAATATGAATTGTCAATGCAACAGAAAAACCAGCCTATATTATCCGCCGAAATAGATAACATTTAGCGTAAAGGGCAAAACAGCTGTGAAAATTATATGAGTGGACAACTGAAACAATGGGTTCATAATGATACAGTTATGCAACTCCATACTCTGGGTATATTGTCTCATATACAATACAATAAATTGAATCATTGAAACTATAACAGCAGGACTATTCAATTCAATTCAATTCTTTATTGTATGAAAGGCCACAGGCCCATATACAACGGAGTTACATAACATATTTTATAAATATAATTTCTTTCGTTTGAGGGACGAATTAGAATGAAATTATTTTCTCCTAACGTCGGAAAGCACAACAAAGGGAGGTAACCTGGTTTCATAATGGGTATATAAGTAAAGGCGGGAAGTTGAAACTTCATTCTCAGGTGCGGTGCAGTCGGGCTGGCTATATTAAACATGGACGCTGACAAGCCCATATCGGAGAAGTAAGACGAGATTCTTCGCCAATTGGAAAGATCAAAAGCCGAAATAGCGCAATCAGTTGAAGATCGTTTACTTGGTTTTCGTGAAGAATTTGAGAAAACGACAAAAGAGATATCCAAGTTGAAAGCTGATAAGGAATTTGTGTGGAAACGAGAAGGTTGTAGAATACAACACTCATTCAATACTGAAACTTTGGACAATTTAAATCAGTTAAAGTTTGCCTTAGAATTTAAGAAATACGACTACGTGGAGCTTGTTGAGACGGAAAAAACTCGGATCGAGCAGAGAAACAAACTTATTAAGATTGCCGATACGTCGGAAGGTGGATGGGAGACTGTAAAAAATTATGTTGCACGAGATGTGGCGTCCGACTCCGAAGACGACAAGAAAATTACAAGAGCAGAAAATAAAGCTGTCAAGAAAATCAAGTCCAATATGGGGCGTTCTGCATGCAGTCCGTACTATAGACCACGTGGTGGTCATGCTCCTAGTGCTACTGTCTCTTCTGCAGAGCCAGCGGCAGTCCACAGCTTCTCCATGTTCAATCAGCCCTTTCGGAGGAACTCATCAAGTGGAGCGTGCTTCTCATGTGGGGGATTTGGCCATTTCAGACGTCAGTGTCCGATGTCCGGAGAACAACAACCTGCTCAGACTACATGACGAGGAGGAGGATCTGCCCATTAATAAAGAAACTGACTCACAAGTTAAGTATGACGTAGGTCATAGTGATAATCATGTGTTACTGACTGATGATTATTTTGAATATGAACAGGGCCATGCAGAAATCATTGTGAAGGATAGGCTAAAACAAAACATTGCTTTTTGGCGTCGAATCGGAAGTTCAGACTACGTCACTGATATCATAGAAAATGGATACATAATTCCGTTTTATTCAACAACACCCAATACGGTTTTAGGCAACAACAAGTCTGCTAGATTGCACGAAGAGTTTGTATCAGAGGCTGTGTCTCAATTACTCAAAAAAGGTTTAGTGGTGCAGTGTGATAAAAAGCCTACATTTGTTAATCCTTTGTCAGTGTCAATCCAATCTTCAGGTAAGAAGAGACTGATCTTAGACTTGTCATGGGTCAACAAGCATGTATGGAAACAATCGGTGAAATATGAAGATTGGAGGACAGCCATGATGTATATAAACAAAAATGACTGGCTTGTAAAGTTTGATATTCACTCGGCTTATCACCATATTGACATATTTCCTCTTCATACCCAATACTTAGGTTTTTTCATGGGGGACTGGTCAAAAAATGACATATTACAAGTTTCTTGTTTTGCCATTCGGGCTTACATCGGCGCCTTATGTTTTCACCAAGGTGACCCGTCAGTTGGTAAAGTATTGGCGTTACAAAGGCTATAGAATTGTTACTTTTCTTGATGATGGTATTTTGTCCAGTAACTCTATTGCTAATACTACGATTATTGGAAATGCTGTCAAGCAAGATCTCATAAAGTCTGGTTTTGTACCAAAAAGTGAAAAATCTTTGTGGGCTCCATGTCAGGTTATGGAATGGCTAGGCTTAATAATTGACACGAAGTGTATGAAACTATCAATCCCTCGTCGGAAGGTTGATAAGTTACATCAGAGTATCATCCCGTTATTGAAAGGTAGCGGTATTGTCCCGGTTAGAAAAGTGGCTTCAGTCGTGAGGCAGGTGATAAGCATGAGTTTGGTTGTAGGATCTGTCGCTCAGCTCATGACTAGGGCTTTGTCTATGCAGACGGTAAGTATAACATCATGGAATGAGTTTGTTGTTTTGACACAGTACAGCAAACATCAACTCGAGTTTTGGTTACATGAGATAAATAAATATACAGAGAGAATATGGTGTGATCAGTCCATAATAACGAGAGTGGTATACAGTGACGCCAGTAGTGTCGGCTACGGAGGGTATTGTGTACAGTTTGGTGAGGAACAGTCTCATGGGCAGTGGTCGGTGGAAGAAGCTGCGTTGAGTTCTACACACAGGGAATTAAAGGCAGTGTATATGGTTCTGCAGAGTGTTCTCCCTTTGCTGAAGTCACACAGGATCAAATGGTTTTCTGATGATAAAAATGTTGAATCGATTGTAGCTAAAGGATCTATGAAATCTGGGCTGCAAAGCATTGCTATGGACATTTTTAATTTTTGTCTCCAAGGTCAGATTCAGTTGGAAATGCAGTGGATACCCCGGTCAGAAAATGAGAGATCAGATTATCTTAGCAAGCTTGTGGACACGGACGATTGGGGAATCAGTGATTTTGTATATCAGCACATACAGAGTATGTGGGGTCCATATGATATAGAAGTATTTGCCTCGTATTATAACAACAAGGTTGCTAGGTTTTATTCCAGATATTGGAATCCTGGATCATGTGGAGTGGATGTATTTACCATGAGTTGGTCTGAAGGCAACAATTGGATAGTGCCACCTGTTTATTTGGTATCTAGGTCATTACGACATTTGAGAATGTGTCAAGGCAGGGCTACGTTGATAGTTCCTGTTTGGTATTCAGCTACTTTTTGGCCATTGTTATGTCCTAGGGGAGAGTTTGTTTCACAGGTGAAGGAAGTGGTTGATCTGCCTACTTACAAAGATGCATATGTCCCAAGCAGACAAAGCAATGGTCTGTTTGGTGTTTATGATTTAAATTTTAACATGATGGCGATTCGGGTTCAGTTTTGAATTTCCTGTTACAGGTGTTTTTGATCACGTGTTTGGTGACGAGATAGCAGAGCTACCGCCGAGTGTGAAGGAATTAGTAAAAGCAATACCGGGACTGCTTAATCATGCCAGAGCGACTTCCACGTGCAGAAAGTACAAGTATGGTTTCCGTGCTTGGAGAAAGTGGGCTGTTTATAACGGTATGCCTGTAGGGTTACCGTTATCTCCCTTACATTGTGCGCTTTATTTGCTGTCAGTGATACAGCGGTCGCGTTCTTTTTCGCCCGTGCAGTCAGCGTTTTTTGTATTCGACACTTTCATGTTATTGTTGGTTTGCCCACTCCCACGGACAACACGTTTGTGATAAATTTGTTGGAGGCAGCCAAACGGAAGTTAGTTAAACCCGTTAAAAAGAAAGAGCCTATTACGGCTGAAGTACTTGAAAGGATGTTTGATTGCAAAATGCAAAACCAAAATGTATATAATTTGAGAACTGTGTGTATATTTGCTTGCATTCGCAGGTTTTATGCGGTCTGCTGAGTTGCTTAATATTAAGCATGGCGATTTGTTGTTTTGTGATTCTCATATGACTGTGTTTATAGAAAGGTCCAAGACCGATGTATACAGAGATGGAGCTTGGTTGATTATTGGTAGAACAGGGACAAAGATGTGTCCTGTGAAGTGTATGGAATGTTTCTTGGAAAAATCTGGATTAAAGGAAGAAACTAATTCAGAAACTTATCTTTTCAGAAATCTGTCCAAGACCAGTGATGGCTATATATTTAGAGCCGAAAACAAACCGATGTCTTATACTCGGTTGAGGGAATTATTTATTGAAGCCTTTAAGCCTTACGTACCTGACATAAAATGCTACGGTCTGCATAGTTTGAGGTCAGGTGGAGCAACAGTGGCAGCCAATAGAGGCATCCCTGATAGAATGTTTAAACGACATGGTCGCTGGAGGAGCGAGAGTGCCAAAGATGGCTATGTTAAGGACAGCATCGAAAATAGATTAAAAGTGTCTCTTTCTTTGGGGCTTTGAATTGCCCGTTCTTTGTTTCCTCAGTCAGTGCACCGTACAGTATCCCAATATGTTGTAGTTGTGTATTTTGTTGTGTTAGGGGGGAGAAGGAGGAGAAATATAATTTCTTTCGTTTGAGGGACGAATTAGAATGAAATTATTTTCTCCTAACGTCGGAAAGCACAACAAAGGGAGGTAACCTGGTTTCGTAATGGGTATATAAGTAAAGGCGGGAAGTTGAAACTTCATTCTCAGGTGCGGTGCAGTCGGGCTGGCTATATTAAACATGTTCAGTTATGTATGATGCCGATTGGAGTACACGTCGGTTGAATCTATATTTTTTATTATTTATGTGTGTAGTACCTGCGGCTGTCCATATGATGATCAGGATGCTATGCGTTGCTTGCAAGTTGTGCTGGCGAGCCATGATAATACGTCGTGAGATGGATCGGTATCCATAGTTGAAATCTCGAACACTCCAGTTGTGAGAGTATGGATTTGGGATATACTCTGATGAGTATGTGCTGACGAGCCATTAGAATACGTAATAAGGCGTCGATGCCTGTGTATATGTACACGTTGAAAATATGAAGCATCGAATCTATATTCATGTAAATTACGGTTGGTTGATGGTCATGATGCTGGTGATGTTCCTGATGCGGACGATGTTCATGATAATGTGAATACTTGTTGAAGAATAAACTGCGGTCAGTCAGTGCACCGTACAGTATCCCAATATGTTGTAGTTGTGTATTTTGTTGTGCTAGGGGGGAGAAGGAGGAGAAAATACAAAGTCAAGGTAACAATTCACTTCGTAACAAAAAAGCATTATGTATGTACAAAGCCAGTTGATGTTGTGTTATAAGATCCTTGCAAGACAGTAATGAAAACAATCTTATAGCATTAAAATGAGATAAAGACCACTGCGGTAAGTACTTGTTTCTTAGATTTTCGTATATAGGGCAAATAAACATAAAATTTATTCATCTTCGACAACAATGTCACAAAATGGGCATAATCGTATCGATTTCTCAAAAGATGAAAATCTCCCTGTGTTAATTTTTAGCTCAATCAGGCCAAGTCTAAAACAAATAAAGGTGTTACGAGAATTCCTGTACCGTAAATTTGATCAATAAGATTCTGGTTCAAGCAATGACTTGAATTGGCGATAAGTATCATAACTTGAACTTTCATAAATATTATGGCAGGACCTGGATCCTGTGATTCCTGACAAAAGCCGCTGTCAGTCTTCTTGGAAAATAACGTTCGCTTGTTGCATAATGTGAAGGACGTGTGACCGAAGAATATCATCCGTGTACCGTTGTCACGATTAGTTCCCCATAACTTGCACCAAGTCTGTTCTACCAGTGTAGGAGATGGCTGCCCACATAATCATACTACAACCACCAAATCTGTCCACTTCCTGTATGCAGTTTTGTGCAAAACGTTCCCCGCGACGCCTGTAAAGACGACGTCTCCCATCTGCACGGCGACATCACATCCACGACATGGCGACATCACATCCACGACAAGGCGACATCACATCCACGACAGGGCAACACCACATCCACGACAAGGCGACACCACTTACACGACATGGCGACATCACATCCACGACATGGCGACATCACATCCACGACATGGCGACATCACATCCACGACAGGGCAACACCACATCCACGACAAGTTGACACCACATTCACCTCAGGGCGACATGAAAATCCTTCTGAATTCCCCGACGTTTGACCGATTGTCGGCCTTGCTTGAATGAATCCATATTATACACCTGTACATCTATGAAGGCCCGAAGTGATGCAGGTTATTTCCATGCCCTATATCACACACAATTAGGTTTCTGTACGAAGAACAGTTACTTGTGTTCGTCGACACCTTACTTATCTCTATCTCTGTTTGGTATTTAAAAAATAATTCATAATTCATAATTCATAATACGTAACTGAGATTCACGTTTGGAAGCT